GTCTAAAGGCACCAGAAATCTGTGCGCTTGTAAGAGAAAGGGCAGCCTTATTTCAGGTTTTCAACTTGACACCGTGGACGGACAAGTATGCCCTCCAACATATCGGTGTACGCCTACCTGCCGCAGCATATCTCCGATCAAATAGTTGCAACACAACGAGCTCGTAGCTCGATGGTTAGGCCGTTTGACTCTGATCGGATAGGTCGCAAGTTCGAGGCCCGGATGTGATACCACTTTGGTCTGGGTATGACTAGCTGACGATGGCTAGTAAGCCAGAAATGGCCATCCTAGTCTCCCTTGTCTCTGTCGGTAACGTGCTTCCGCCTATATCATTAGCCGCCTCGTGGTTTAGGCCCGAGTGAGAGGTCCAGAGGTGCTGTGGACGGACGAGTGTGTACTCTAACAGATCGGTGTACGCATGTCTGCCAATAATAGTAGTATAATTAGAGCCCATGGACCCCGTCATTACAAAATTAGAGCTGTGGTTAAAAAAATACAAATTGGTAATTACAGCTGCGTGTGAGCAACTGTATAAACGACAGAAATGAATGGTATATTACACGCATTACAGAATATCAGATCCACAACGGGCATTCAATTAAAAAAATAGTGAACAATATTTGGCAAATATGGTGAGCTGAGAAAGAAAGCAGTGAAGAACAAACTCCTATACGAGAAATCAGAGGCTGAATTCAGAAGAAAAAAATACTTCCGTCATTAATATGAAGTTAGATTGATATGATACAATGAGATGCGATCGTGGTGTTGATAAGAACGTGTGCGGATTCATAATGCTCCTTGTCATGGGAGCTAGAATATGGCATGATTGAAGTGCGACAGGAGGACTTTATTGCTAATGGCACGGTCAGTGGGACAACGGGGCCGAACCAAATAGGGGACAGTAGATGACACGGCAAAAGGAGCTTATGTAGACCCACTCATATATCCTTAGTCCTAGTATCTGTCCTGCAAAAATGGTGGTTATAGAGTTGTGGGGGTAGGGAAATATGATAGGCAGAGACGGAATTTTTAGAAGTGTAAAGTGAAAGAAATTTAGTCTAAGTTGCTTCCCACGGCCGCTGGGAGTAAGTTGTTCCGCATGTAAATTGTAGGCGTGCGCGGTGCCTCGCGCCGCGGGCTATACTAATCCAACTCCAGAACGGCAAGTTGGACCTCAGCTAAGTTGAAGTAGACGACCTACTAACTACTACTTAAATCTTTCGGGAAAATTCAAGAAACCTGCACTTTATAGTCAGGGTTTTCCGCAATAAGTAAAATGATAATACAAATTAGGAAAATCTACAGATATAAATCAACAACACGTTTAAATACAGTAAGGAAATGCATTTAGCATTTATTAAAGTATATTCCACTGCGTATCCTAATTCTCAAACAACAAAACCCTATGACCACCGCTTTCTTTCAACATGCAGGGAGTAGGGATTAATGAGTGGGCCTACATAAGCTAGTGTCGCCGAGGACACAAGAACATCAAAAAAATGCTGGAGTTGCAATCAAACGGACCGCAGAGTTCACTGACAAGCTGGGGAAAACACAAGCTCCCGGGCGATTACCAACGAGACCTCGAAGACCATCGTCAGATTGCAAAAAGGAGAAAAGTTGGTGACATTTGGAAATTTAGCTTGACTCTGGGCAACGGATAATGTAAATATACTAAGAAACCAATTGGCTATCATGAGAAGAACCTTAAATGCTAGAAAAACCCCTTGTCAATGTGCAAAAGTTGCGGTTTTGGGAAGGAAACGGGCAGTAAGGACATTATATCTTGCAAACTTTAACGTTGATGTAATTTGCTCTTAAAGATCGATAATGTAGACGACGACCTAATTTCGAATGGAAGATTATTTCAGATAACAGCATATTAGGAGACAAAAAACTAGAACAGTTAGATGCACAGTTAAGGGATGGTGAAATTATAATGGAGGAGTTACAAGGGCGTAAGATCCATCTACCGGAGTGAGATCTTAAATGCGCGAGAGATCAGGGCTAGTGTTACCGCGAACCATAACACATAGGCCGGCTTTTTGTCTTCTTACCCACAGAAACGTAATGTTCGTTAACTGCCATCTATCCATATAAAAGATACTGTATCAAAACGGAGAAAATCGTTTCCGAGTAAAAAACATATGTGAACATTTCAATCTTACTGCGGTGAGACGCGTTTGGAATATTTTTCGAATTATACTCACGGAACTAGAAGCGCCCCGCCTATGTGATAATGGTGCTCCATGTCCGACCACGTTCATCGTAAGCCACCCATCGTGTTGGCACAGTGACAAGGACTTGCACTTGCGTTAGTTTTAAGTGATAGTAGACTTGCGCTGCATCTGCGGCGCACACACACTCTCTCTCTGCCCTCAGTCACTCGTACCAGGTGTCAAGAAGATTGGCGGCACTGTTGCACGCAGCTGACATGCATGCAGTGTCCGCAGTTTCCTGAAAGAGCACCGGTCAGGTACAAGTGGCTGGCACGGTGTGACCCTGCATTTGTGGCATTTGTTGTACGGTCGTGTAAAATGTCGAAGTTTGCAACCGATTGATTATCACTCTCAAACCGGCATTGACGCGTGGACGCAAACTAAGAAATAGTAATGAACAACCTTGGAAAAATTGAGCACTTAAATAAAAATATGAAAAGTATCCATTGTTGGGAAAATAAAATTTTCTTATTAATACTCAAGTTCTGCAAACGTGAAAAGTAGCTATAAATTAAAATAGAGAAGTTAAAACTTATTTTTGTTTGAATGGATACCTATACCACTTTCTTAATATAAAAAAGTTTCTTTGGTCAAAATACTTTCGTTATTTAATAACAATTATTTTAGGAGATAAAACTTGGCTTCGCCTGCTTTTTACTATTTTAAGACTTTGGAATGCATTTAGAATGCATTTATTTTAAACTTTTCTCCCTTATTTTGGGATTCCGATTTGGCTTGCTTCCGTCGTAGAAAATGTCTTCGATATCAGGCTACTTCCTATTTCGCCAAAATAAATGCCTATTACCCTCAACCTACTAAATTAAAATGGTGAATAAAGAGCAAAGTATAAATTGCATAACCAATTTGTTTGATTGCCCACTAACAGTATTTCAACCATAAGCAACAGTTTTTTCCTCCTTAAAATTCCTTACATCCCATTCACACTTCTGTAGTTTTCCAAAAATGCCCCAGGGGATTTTCTTCACTGTTTGCTCTTTTTGCTTTTGTTCGACGTTGTGTTTGAATTTTTTTGCGGTGAAGATGCATTTCTCGGCCACCAATAGGAAGTTCGAAGGCGTTTGCTTTGCTTTATTTTAATTAAAATGCAGCCGAAACCGTATCACATTCATATCCCTTTCTGCTCATTGACTTCGCATCCAGTTCTAAAACGTCCTCAAGTTCAAAATCATATGGAAATTCACTTGCCACTTACAGCAAGCGTATTTCCTGCGCGCTTACAAGCCTCACCTGTGAGCATTCAACTGCCGGCCTTGAAGTAACCTATCCGTTGAATTATGGCTGATGCTTCGCCGCTATCAGGGCTGACGCGGCCTAACAATTCTAGATGTATTCCACTTGTCTGTTATTCTCCGATTAAATTAACGAACTCTGGAAAATGTGTAACTGTATTTGCAATATCGTAGCGGTCTCCTGACACCGTTGTTTTTTTGTTTTACCTCAAACTTGTAGTGCCTGAACCGGAGGCGCCAACTATTCTCAAAGCCGAGGTCGTCGGCCCCAATGCCATAAAGCTCACCTGGACGGCGCCTAGCAATGTCCTTGTGTATTATTACAAGGTTATCATAACTGATGCGGGGGGCATGAGCCGGACAGAAGTAGCGGCAGCAAGTGATGTCCTCCGCCTTCTGACGGGACTGAAGCCAAACACGGAGTACAACATTGTGATGAGGGCAGCCAGTATGGAGAAGGAAAGTGGGGACTCGAAACCTGCCACTGCCACAACTGCCCACGGTGGTAAGCTGCAAATAATGGT